ATACCTCAAATCATTTGAGACAGAGTCTCTCATTCCACAGTGCTGTTGTCAGCTATCAGGTTGTACCTCAGCAGTCATATGGTTATCCTAGGTCATTGGATGAGCTGCATTTGTTAAAAAAGTGAATGATTTGGGCGTATCATATCATGGATAGGACATTTCTGGGAGAGCGAGTGGCTGAGCATTATTGGGGCCTGAGGCAGCGGCTTTGTTGTGCAAGAAGTGGCGCCAACTTAAATGAGAACCGCGTGAGTTGCCGACTGCCGCGCGCAACGCGAAAGTCCAAACTCCAAAAAAGGGCTCATCTCAGAGTGAAGCTCAGCAGCTGATAGCTATTTTGACCTCTGACTACGCTTTAATCGCCACATACAGTATCGCGATTCCGCTCACTCTTCGTTCTTGACGCCGAAATCAGGACTTGTGAATTTACATCCAAGGGCGAATTGCTCTAAATACCCTCCACAATGTGAGATGCCTTCGTCGCACTCGCTCTCTTGGACTCGTTATACTCATCTCATTCATAGGGAGGCTTTTGACAACATTTACCTCGACCTCTCCAAACAGCCCGGAAAATGCAAGCTCGCTGAGAGTGGTTTGGGATGGCGCCCTTCTGGCGGCGGTGATACGTTCACACTTGATAGCAACAATATCGGAGCAGCTCAATGGAGCCGGGCAGCGAAGGGATATGAGCTGAAAATCCTATCGCGCTCATCGGGTGTGATCCAATTAGACGGGTTTGACCAAGAGGTAGGACTGGTGGCGAAAACCAACCTTAATGGTAGAGCTGGGGACTGTTTTACTGACTTTGCGGATTTTGAATAGGACTTCGAACGATTGAGCAAGGCGTTCAAGATTTGGTACGGCATCAATGTTGAGAACCGCGAGCATGCACTACGAGGGTGGAATTGGGGTAAAGCAGAATTCACAAAGGCAGAACTCGCTTTCAACGTTCAGAATCGACCTGCATTTGAGATCCCGTATTCGGAAATCTCGAACACAAACCTGGCGGGAAAGAATGAGGTCGCAGTCGAGTTCGCTCTTACGTCAGACGGCGACGCCAATGCCCAACCTTCTGGAAGCACAAAGAATCGCGGTCGGAAAGCTGCTGCAGGTCCGGATGAGTTGGTGGAGATGCGATTCTACATCCCGGGGACGGCGGTCAAGACAGAGAAGGGCATCAAGACAGAAAATGATGAGGAGAACGGAGAAGAAGAGGAGGAAGAAGGCGAAGAACAGAATGCGGCCAATCTCTTCTATGAAACTCTTATGGAGAAGGCAGAGATTGGCGATGTCGCTGGTGACACCTTTGCTACGTTCCTTGATGTCCTTCATCTTACACCCAGGTACGTCTCTCTTTTGAACGCGCCTTTCCGTGGCTTCGTATTAAGGAACTCTGCAGAGGTCGCTTTGATATTGACATGTACGAATCGTCCTTCCGACTTCGCGGCAAAACATACGACTACAAGATTCAATACGCCTCTATCAAGAAATTCTTCCTGCTCCCTAAGAACGACGAGATGCACACACTCATTGTATTAGGTCTTGACCCTCCTCTACGGCAAGGTCAGACTCGGTATCCTTTCCTGGTCATGCAGTTGAAGCTCGATGAAGAAATCAGTCTGGAGCTCAACATGACAGAGTCAGTTCTCCCCGAAACGTCGTTTTGGTGTCGAACTTGGAACTAATTTTCTGTAGGGAGCTATTGGAATCCCGCTACAAGGATAAGCTGGAACCTCGTTACGAAGAGCCGATTCATCAGGTCGTCACCAAGATCTTCCGTGGCCTGTCTGGCAAGAAAGTCATCATGCCATCAAAGGACTTTGTCAGGTCAGTCATACTTAGCGTTTTCAATTTGCCTGACCCGTGCTGACTACGTGCAATAGCCACCACGGACACAGCGGAGTCAAATGCTCGATCAAAGCCAACGAAGGTCTTTTGTACTTCTTGGACAAGAGCTTGATTTTCGTACCCAAGCCCGCTACTTACGTGCAGATTGAGAATATTGCTGTTATCACCATGTCTCGTGTTGGTGGCGCCGTGTCCGCAAGTAGAACATTCGATATTACGGTCACATTGAAGGCTGGAATGGGTGAACACCAGTTTAGTAACATCAACCGGTATGCCATTTCCCAGAACTACATGCCACTAGTGTCACTAATACCTACCACAGTGAGGAGCAACAACCACTTGAGGAATTCTTCAAGGCCAAGAACATTCGGTTCAAGAACGAGATGTCGGATGACGTATGTGTACTCCGACAACAAACCACAACTGTCTGGTCATTAGATGCTAATATATTGCAACAGACCTCGGCGCTCATTGCCGCTGCCCTTGACAACGATGACATGATGTCTAGTGATGAGGATGGCGGGCGGGCTGATCGCGGCTCAGCAGATGAGGATGAAGAATCTGTTGACGAAGACTTCCAGGCGGAGTCTGAATCAGACGTTGCGGAAGAATTTGATTCTGAACACGAAAGCAGCGGCGGCAGCGCAAGTGATGCAGAGATGGATGACGCTTCGGACGCCGGCGATGACGAGGAAGATGTGGACATGTCAGAGGAGGAACGACCCAAAAAGAAGAGCAAGATTGGGAAGTAGTTTGGTCTGTACTGGACAAAATCGACATACTTATGACCATGGTTGTATAGTGAATACAAATTGGAAGCGAACTCTCCTTTCCTTCACAGAAAGGCTGTACCATAAATCTGCAGACTGTCATGGTAATCTACTAATGAAGTACGACTCTCGATTCTGAGCCAATAACTAGATATACAGTCTACTCTTTAATTGCAAATACAGAGATCTTTTGGTGGAGGCTCCAGTCACTATTGCTTGAGCTCACTTTGGTTCTGATCTGTCGCATAAGCATCCGTCTATCGCGGCAGCTCTCTGTTTGTGGCACAACTATTGAAAATCAACACAGAAAGGGAGGCACTTATGCAAAGCAAGATTCGGTCTATCACTTCAACAGATGCAGACTTACTGCTAGGGTTAGGCTGGAGGAAAGTTCATGAGTATGCATTGAACCGCGTCCATCTTGGTCATAATTCATCGGCGTTATTTGTCTACAATGAATAATGCAGTTATGTATGCAATATGTAGATAGATCTCTGTAAAGCTACATTAGAATCAGCAGTAAACTCTTTGGCCTTGTGATAGTTTGAAGCGCTACTTATTCTTTATCAAGCACTACCTAGTAATCTGCCCTTCTAGGTTAAGCATCCAACCTGACTTATATCGTTTAATCAAGTGCTCTCAAACCCTTGCCTGCAGATTTTGTACTACATCCTAATACTGTTTGTATGTTACCTTACTTCACAACGGTGTGTGCTGCCAATGGAAAGTTCCGTATGCCTTGAATAACCCGTAATATGAGCTGAATATATATTGACGATGGCACCATACCGGTAAATTCTTATATTCGCTAACTCTACCCGATCTCGGAGTATCCCCGAATCTGGCAAAACAATTGCATATAGGATATAGCAATCAAAATATGAATACTCACTGCCCAGATTTCCACTTTACCAAACCAATCTGATGGACCATCGATGGTGGGAATCCGATCCTGCCTCAGGCCGCTCATCAAGCTAATGATTGGTCGGTGGCTAAATTTCCGTTTGAATCTCGACGGGAAGTTCCATGGGAGGCTTGTTTTTACCCCTGACTGAACAGGTAACCGCCGTACCCTCAGTATTACGGAGAGTACCTTACAAGTACCTTCAAGGAGCCAGACGGAGATGGCTCGCTATATCGTACATACACATGATATGAATGAACTGACGGGATGTTGTCAAAATCGGGGGAAATTCTAGATGTCAGTAAATCTTATGCGCTAAGCTAATTATAAGAGCCGTGGGGCCTCTTATTGATTGTCAGACCATAGATGTATAGTTAGTGGACGGTACAGTAATGTTCTGAAAGCTGTAGCTTCAAAGCTCGAGGTTGTTTCAAATGTTCCGGAGCAACATAAAAGAAGTCCTAACTCGATGCTCTATACTCCATAGAGACGCGTCTTTTGTATAGAATCGCACTGTTCATCCTTGGGCAAGTTCTCAGTTTTTCTGAGCTTCTAAATCTTTCTCAGTAGTTAGGAAGCGTGCAATGTCCATGGGAACAATAATCAAAGCAAGGATATCTCCAGCCCTTAGGGAGGTAAGCTGTGTAGAATGGTATAAATTAATGGGTCTTTTTGCTCAATGTGCATGAGATTCATGCCTTAAAGGATTAGATAGATCAATGCTGTTTTGTTTCTCAGGACAAGTATGTGCTTGAGGCTAAGATTCTGCTTATTTGAGCGTGCCCCTTTCTTTGGCGGATTGGCAGTATCTAGTTAGTATGTAGTATGGCTCGCTCCAGCGACCACCTTTCTTCGACCTCCACCCCATCACTCTCCGCAGGCCCAGTTTCCCCTGGTTCTTCATATTATTATTGCTTCACTTCTCTCGTTCAACGACCTCTTCCTTTTATTTGTACTCAATAATTTTCCCTTCATAGTACTTTATTTTCCTACAATAGTTATTGTGTCTACCTTTTTTCACACCGCCGTTGAGCTTGATTGGGATTATTTACCGCGATCTTGGTCCTCCTCTGCTCGTGGTTGACTGATTTCACCCTTTGCCAGTGAAACAGTGGTGAGTTAAGATAGCACTTCCGGGGCTGGAACTCCTCCCTACTCCTGCAAACCTTTGAGACCGAGGCATCGATTTATTTATTGCCCTTGCTTCCTTCTGTGCCCCTCCTTCCCCTAGCTGCGTGCAGTAGGAACCTCTGTTTGCTAATTCAGAAGCCGCTATTCAGGGGAACTTCCTTCTTGACGCTCGCTATCTTGATTGCATCCCACGCTCGCTTCTAGAATCAACGGATAATTTTTACAATGGGTAAGCCCACTTTCGATATCCTTTTGCATCGAGCTACATTCTTGTGTCAATCTGTCCGCCATCTACCCGTCAAATCTCACTTGTCATCCTCCTAAATTCTACGTGCTACAATACAACAATGTCTGTGGCCTTGGAGAATCCCACTGTGGAGGAGAACCTATCAATAGGATCCTCGAGTCCGACCCTCAGTTCGCTGCAACAGAAGCCGGGACCGAAGACACTTTCACTGTCCTCTCTCCTGCCAGGGGCCTATCTGTCTGGAAGTGAAAGCCGAATCACATATAACTTTGCTGACTCTTCTTCGGATGATGTAGCTTCACCATCCTCTCCTGCCAATGGCACTCCCGCGTCTGTCAAGGAATCACCTGCGCCTAGCAGCCCAGGATCTCCTTACGTTGAGCGTAGCAACCCCATGGGTGCCGGCAACGCTCAAACAGTCAGCTCCAAAGATCCAAAAGCTGCGGCTCAAGCCGCCACGGACATGAAGAATGTCGTTCGCCGCAAACTGACTGGCTACGTTGGTTTCGCCAATTTGCCGAACCAATGGCACCGCAAGAGTGTGCGCAAAGGATTCAACTTCAACGTGATGGTTGTTGGTAAGTTTTCTCCGGATCAGTTCGAAAGCGACCCCAATTCTGAAGAAGGGGAGTCCACCACGGAATGCTGACTTCATTCGATAGGTGAATCGGGTCTTGGAAAGTCGACTCTCGTCAACACTTTGTTCAACACCTCCCTCTACCCGCCCAAGGAGCGTACCGGCCCCAGTCACGACATCATCCCGAAGACAGTCTCGATCCAGTCCATCAGTGCAGATATCGAGGAAAACGGTGTCCGTCTTCGCTTGACTGTGGTTGACACTCCCGGCTTTGGTGATTTTGTCAACAACGATGACTCGTGGCGCCCTATCGTCGAAAACATCGAGCAGAGATACGATGCCTACTTGGAGGCGGAGAACAAGGTTAACCGCACAAACATTGTCGATAACCGTATTCACGCCTGTGTATATTTCATCCAGCCCACCGGCCACTCGCTGAAGCCCCTCGACATTGAGGTCATGCGTAGACTGCACACCAAGGTCAACCTCATTCCTGTCATTGCCAAGGCCGACACATTGACCGACGAGGAGATTTCCCTCTTCAAGCAAAGAGTAAGTAGCCCGCGCTTCTCACCGATCATGAATTGGTAACTAATCCTGTCAACCCCTTTAGATTCTCGCAGATATCCAGCACCATTCGATTCAGATCTTCGAGGGACCACGCTACGAGCTTGACGACGAGGAGACCATCGCCGAAAACCAAGAAATTATGTCTAAAGTTCCTTTTGCCGTTGTTGGTGCGAACACCGAGGTCACCACAGCTGATGGCCGTAAAGTGCGTGGTCGTAGCTATCCTTGGGGTGTCATTGAGGTCGACAACGAGGAACACTGCGACTTTGTCAAACTGCGTCAGATGCTGATCCGCACTCACATGGAAGAGCTCAAGGAACACACCAACAACTGGCTCTACGAGAACTACCGGTCCGACAAGCTTACCCAAATGGGTGTCGCCCAAGACCCAAGCGTGTTCAAGGAGGTCAACCCAGCAGTCAAGCAGGAGGAGGAGCGTGCTTTGCACGAGCAGAAACTCGCCAAGATGGAGGCAGAGATGAAGATGGTCTTCCAGCAGAAGGTTGCAGAGAAGGAAAGCAAGCTGAAACAGAGCGAGGACGAATTATACGCGCGACATCGCGAGATGAAGGACCAACTGGAACGCCAACGCCAGGAGTTGGAAGAGAAGAAAGCCCGGCTCGAGAGTGGAAGGCCAATCGAAGAGAAAGGGAAGAGGAAGGGCTTTTCTCTCCGTTAAGGTCTTACTACCTAGTCACTGGAACTCTGATGCTTCCCATCAAAGAGCACTACCTTGGGAGCACCAAAGTTATGCAACGCTGCCGGAGACCTACAGGTGTCTCTACGTTTGATCCTGCACGACTGTTGATTAATCGAGCGCTCATTTCGACTTCCCTCCATTCTCGTGTGTTTATTTGTTTCACCACGCTCCTTGAGACTCTTCTTCCTCGTATCTGCTTCTCTCGGTAACGACTCCCATTTAATTGCGCGGACCAAGAAAAAGAACTGCCCACCCTTTCTTTTGCTTTTCCAGCAAGAATCGATGCTCCATCAATTGAGACTTGACTGGGAGATGGGTTGGAACTTGCGAACCGCGAGCGGACGAGTAACGCGTCTGCTTGCTCGAGTTGTCCTTTGCTTCACTTGCAGGATTATGAATGAGCAAGGGCGGTGGCCCGCTCAGGTCGAAATCAGCTGTCTTACGCCCACTTTCCACTTCGCCGTCATGTACTTTTTCGCCTACGTTATACCAGGGTGTCTGCATCTTTCCTATTCCCCAATCTGGCCAATCACTCTTCGTGACATTCTATTCTCCTGCCCTCTTCTGCTGCCCTTTTCGTTACACATTTTAGTGAAATACCTCACCCTCGACCATCCTTCTCGATGTCCTATTTCCTTTACAGTCTGCTCTGTTCTAGTTGTCAATTTTAAGTTGTTGTCAAAAGTAATCTCGGTTCTCTCGCTAGATTTCTTGTGTCGTACATGTCGGGGATATGATGTAGTGGAGGACAGAGAAGCGACCAACACGTAAGGAAAACCAAGAAGAAGAGAAGCAGACGAAAAACATGAGGGACGACGACAATCAGACTTGCACGGTCGTTCAAAAACTTGTATAGCAGAAGTTGAGGTTTGCATTGAACAACTGCCAGAAGTTGCATCATCCCGAGGTAGCACTCGACGTCATTGCGAACAATGACGAGGCGGAGTAGAGCCGCGAGAGCTTCCCGCCCGTTCTCCAGCTAAACCACTTCCAACAATATAGACTAAACGCACACCCCAAGTCGCAACGTCTCCCCGCCCAGCCTCCCCTCACAGTTTGCCGACGGATTATCGAGCCTGCCAGCCTCAATTAACTGAATTTTGCCCTAATACCCCAAAAAATTGTCTCTGCTATTCCATAGCCACTCTTCTTCCCAGTACCTTTTCGTCCTTCCTGCTTCCTCCGGCTACGCAACACTTTAGATAACAACTATCCACACAGCACTCATGGCTCCTCCACCTCCCTCAAACTTGCCACTTCCTGAGAGGCTAAAGGCTCTCGTTCAAACATTACAGTATGTGGACTGCATTGCACATTGATCTCATGGTTTGGGTACTGACGAAGATGGCGTGAACCCTTTAGATTTGCTTGGTTTGTTGGGTAGGTCACCGTTCATATTGCAACAGCACTCGATCCGCCCCGTCAGTGACTCGGATTATAAATTTATTTCATTCTCAATTTGCTTGGCGCCGTCAACGCATATAAGCCTTGTTATTCTACCATCAGGGCCCTTTGGAAGCAGGCAGTAGCATTAGCTGGCAGGTTCACTGACTATCTACAGGCACGTGACGCTTCTCATCTCGGTTTTCCGTTATCTGTTGTCCTATGTCACCTTCAACTACTACTCCTCTGCTGCACAGGTGACTTATCGCCTGGCGTTTATTGCGGCTGCCGGAACATATGGAATTGTTGTGTACAAGGCACACATCGCCCGAGGCCGCCTCCAGGGCAGCGTTCCCAATATTGTGCTGAAGCTCGCTGGAGACGAAAATGTCCAGTACCTTGGTGAGTGGTTGCTCGGCAGTTCACTACTACAATGACTTCTCGGACAGCCTTGGCTTACGAAGTTACATCAGGAATGGCTTTGGTGTGGCTCTACTCTCGCCAGATCCCTCTGGCTCTGCTTCCCTTCAGCGTGTACTCCGTTTTCCACGTTGCGACCTATACCCGTGCCCACTTGATTCCTACTTTGCAGCCTCCTAGCCAGGGCGCGACTGGCGTGGCCTCTCCATCCTCCCCTGGCTCTCCCAAGCCTGCTGCGAAGCAGTCTCCTTTGGCCGATACCATTGGAAGATTTGTCAAACAATATTACGATACCAGCATGGATCTTGTTGCCGGGCTCGAGATGGCGCTCCTCTTCCGATTGGTGGTATCCCTACTCTCCTTCTCCAAGGGCAGCATCGTTCTCTTTACCCTCTATCTGGCTTTCTTCCGCGCCAGATATTCCCAGAGCTCATTTGTCCAGCAAGCTGTCCGTCATTTCACCGCCAGAGTCGATGCCTCAGTCTCTCACCAGAGCACTCCTCCCGCAGTTCGCCAGGGTTGGGAACAGTTCAAGAACGTTGTACGCCAGGGATACGATGCCACGGATCTGAGCCGCTACACCTCCGGCGCTACTGCCAAGAAGCCTCAGTAGTCCGGATTGCTGAAAATGCTGGCAATGTCTGTAATGAAGAGCGATCCTACGGGGATCCTGTCAAGTTTCTCCTTCCTGGGAGTTTCTTGGGGTCGCTTTCAGATATGTTGCGTTCGCTGATGATGTCTTACGAATACAAGACCATTGGTCTGACGATGATCAGGCCTGGCTCGTGGTTTTGAAGATAGGAGCTGGTGGTGAAAACTATGCGAGAGAATGGCAGAAGTGTGCATGGGGAAGCGGGCTTATGACGTAGCCTCCTTTTTGCTCTAGTGTTTCTTGCAGAGATACTGCAACTCTTGGATGTGCGAGATGCAATGAGATCTTCAATGCATCTTATACCCTCATTCACGGTGCGATTATATTGTCGATTGTCGTTGGTCCTCTATTAGCCATTTGCACTGTCTTGGTTGTATCGTTCTTAAATAAGCATATCACATCTGTCAAGTGGCTTTCGGAATTTCAATAGTGATATTAAGATTTCCTGATATTCTTGCCGAACGTGTGCAATCCCGAGTAGTTGCCGTCCTCAGTAGGATCAATATTCTCCTGGGTTGACCGGAATGGTGCCTGAGGCTGTCACAGGGCTCGGGCTCGGGCGGCGGAGGAAGCGGAAAAACCGGCCGAAATTTTGGGAACTTTTTGCGGTGTTTGCAGAGGCCTATAGGAAGAAACAACCACCCTTCTCTTCTTGTTCGGCATATTGAGAGGTGCGATGTCACCGATCCTCGCCTCTCCATTCCCTTCAAACCTTGTATAATATTGAACTGTATTCTTTTGCGCTTGACTCTCACTTTCGCTGTCATCTTCCCGTCATCTTCGCTCGAGGTGGCGTGCAGTCTTACATCTACGCCGCCGCAAGTCAACCACCGTGGTCTGGCCCGCACCACGATCTGGTGGATTGCGGTGTCCTTGCAATGAGCTTGACCTCGCGTGTATTCGGCCTGTTTTCGACGACAGAGACATCTACACCTGATTCGACTACGTCGTCATCATTCTTGCAGAATGCCAAGAGCGGCGGCAATAATGCTTCTCAGAATGCCAGTCCGATGAAGAGGGAAAACGGTGCTCTTGCAAGACAAGATGCTTCGATGGATGAAGAGGAGGAGCCCCGTCCTCCATATCTGCATGTATGTCAATATAGTCGCAATCACCTGGCTCGTGATGAATTGGGGTAGTCTGCGTTAGCGCATCTGAGTGGAAGACCCTTGCGACGGGCCCTTTTATCTTTATGTGCTGATGAATGGATTTTCTTTGAATACAGGCAATGCTTGCCGGAGGTACCGGAGGCACTTGCGGCGACATGCTTATGCATTCGCTAGATACGGTCAAGACTCGACAACAAGGCGACCCTACCTTTCCTCCGAAGTACACCTCCATGACCTCATCGTATGCGACCATCTACCGACAAGAAGGATTTTTCCGCGGTCTTTATGGTGGTGTCACCCCCGCCCTCCTTGGTTCTTTCCCAGGAACTGTCATTTTCTTCGGGACATATGAATTCACCAAGCGATGGATGTTGGATGCGGGGATCAACGCGAATGTGGCATATTTATCTGGAGGTATGTCGGAGATGATCCGCTGGGAAAGTTCGACGTGCAATCGTGCTGACATCCTATTTTTTCCTCGCTAGGGTTCATCGCGGACTTGGCCGCTTCTGTTGTATATGTTCCCTCTGAGGTGTTGAAGACACGGCTGCAACTCCAGGGGCGCTATAACAATCCTTACTTCAATTCTGGATATAATTACCGCTCGACCTCGGACGCGCTGCGAACGATCATTCGACAAGAAGGGTTTTCTGCGCTCTTCCATGGGTACAAGGCTACCATTTTCCGTGATCTACCTTTCTCTGCTCTTCAGTTTGCTTTCTACGAACAGGAACACCGCCTCGCGAAAGAGTGGGTGGGGTCTAGAGATATCGGTCTTGGGCTAGAGGTCTTGACTGCTGCCACGGCTGGTGGAATGGCAGGCGTGATTACTTGCCCAATGGACGTCGTAAAGACTCGAATTCAGACACAGCAGAACCCAGATGCTGTCAAGCCTTCTTCTGCTTCGTCGAAGGGCCCCGCTGAGCACGCTTCTACCAAGGAGACTCCTCGGCAGCATACTTCAAGCCAAACCACTTCGAGCCTCCGGACTCACTCCCGGCCGATATCCACCGGAGGAGCTTCTACTTCTGTACGGGCCCCTGGAACGCCTCGCCTGGACACCTCGTCATTCTTCACTGGTTTGAAGATTATCTACCAGACTGAAGGATTTTCCGGCTGGTTTCGCGGGGTTGGCCCACGGGGCGTTTGGACCAGCATACAAAGCGGGACCATGCTGGTCATGTACCAGTATCTGCTGAAGCAGCTCGAGGCCTGGCAGACTACTGGGGAGACGGGACCTCTTTAGTCGAGCTCCTTATTTTCCATTAAATAGAGGGACACCCCCTTGTAGATATATTCGCATCGCAGCCTGAGCATATGTGTGTGCGCCTTGGCAGGCTACGTTTTGCAGGGCGTTCTGGCGGGGTTGTGGCATATTGATTTTCTTCCCCTTCTGCATCGGACCAACCTCTCCT